AACTATGGAGGAAGTCCAGTTCGTAAGGCAAGGAAATGACAAAGGATGTTTTAACAATTACAATAATTGGAGGCCTCAATAGAAAAATAACTGGACTAACCAACAATTGAGCTATCAGAGACCAAATTAACAACCAGGATTTTAGAATCAACCATTTAGAGTCAAGGAGGAAGACTGGATTAAGGTAGGTAATGTTCTTGATAGTCTTGATGCAAACTGTGAAAGATATGCATAATCAAGTGGCACAAATGGCAAGGAGACTACCAGACAGACCTGTTGGAACACTTTCTAGTGACACACTGGAAAACCCCAACAGAGGGGAAGCACACAGCTCAATTCAGAAACCAGAGATGCATCACAAGGAGGTGTTGCAACTAAAAAGTCAGAATAGAAGCATCAATGAGTCTGGCATGAGACTTTAAACCAATGCGCTGCTTGGGAGGCTAATTTTGTTCTTCTTAATTTTAAGTAGTGATCTCATATTATTAATCAATATGTTGGTAGCAATCAAAAAGAGTGGCACCACTCTTATCAGAAATTTTCAGGTGGATTGTGTGGATGGTTAACCTGAAGTACCTTGCAGACTATGATATGATTAGTAGGCAACATTTCAGTTTAATTATCTAACACAAGCAAGGAACAATGGTCGGTTGTCTCACTTGGGTGAGTGATGGACTGACTTTCGCGACCGGGATGATTGATCAACGAAAACTTGCAAATCATTATACAGCCAGTGTTCTGGTTTGAAGAAGCATAGTCACTTATTCAAGTGACATATTCCACTCACGAGAGTGAGAAGGTCAACTGGGAGCAAAACAAAAGTCAAAGCCTCCTAGTTCGCTCTCAAAGCAGAAAAGGAGGGAAATCATTTTTAAATGATGGACACGATTGAGGGGCAGAGTTGTCTAGAGTAACGCCTGGGAAACTGGAACATTTCAACTCGAGAACTGACATCCCACGCCCCCATAAAAATACCATTTGAAATTCTATAACCTTCTTTCATCTTCCAAACTTTTCTATCAGTTACCATCACTTAACCCTACAGCCAAAATAGAAAACATCGACTCTTTTAAAATACAGATTTACAATGGCCAGAAAGAGGCAATCCTCAAGGGAAAGGAGTGTACACACCCCTGGAAGCAGGATCATGGTTCTGGCCAATACGCCGGGATGGCAGACAAGAACCCAGAGGAGAGCCCACCGGAATCGGATGCGCGAAATCAGGAACTCTAGCCTGATACCAAATCTTGAAGAGGCGGAACTACCCCAGCAGAACTGAGGGCGACGAATGGTAATTGAAAGAGGAGCAACCTTCCCGACAGATCTACGATCCTACATCGTTGAACATCACTGGAGAATCCACCATATCCCTCTCTGAAGGATGAATTCCTGATCACCTAGGATCGGAGTACTCTGTCTCTTTCTCTTTTCTTTTCCTTTATTTTTTGTTTTCGTATGGTTAAGTCTTTCTATTTTTTCTATGTTTTAATCTGTGTGTTTAGAGTCCTTAGGTAAGATTGAGTCAGTTCTATGTTTTAATTTGTTTGTTTTTCAGTTTAATTGCATGATTTGTATATATATATATATATATACATATACATATATATATATATATGTTTATGTGTATATATATATATATATGCCTGTGGTAGTTTCTTCCGCTGTTTCTTTGTTTGTAAGCATTGGGGACAATGCTTGTTTTAAGTTTGGGGGAGGGATTTGTTTGGAATTGCATATTTTTAACTGTGACAAGATCAATTTTTGAAAAATAACAAAAAAATTTTATGATTGTGTGCAACTGTGAACAAGTTGATGTATATACTGTGTCAAAAGTCTGATGATTCAAAAATGTGCGGGAAATTTTAAAATTTTGAACACTCATTGATGCACTTAAAGTCAGTCCATAGTTTTTCACTTTCTCAAGCACAAAATGTCACTTGCCGGAGTGAGAGTTCTGAGCTTAAATTTAAAATCTGAATACCTTAATTGCATTGTTGTGATCTTAAATTTAAAATCTAAATAACTTATATATAAATTCCATTCCTTCTCTTTGAGTTTGTCCTTTTGTGTGTCTAGGTCAGTAGAAGTGAGTTTGAATCTGTTTGCATACGAATCAGCAAACCTTTGAGTTTGAGATTTATTGCTTGAGAACAATCAATACTTCAAGTTTGGGGGAATCTGATAACACTAAAATATATACCCTTTTAGCAAGCATTTTCTACTCAGTTTTACTTAGAATTAGGTGTCAATTAGATAAAATTAGTTTACTTTTGAGTTGATTTTGTATTTAAAGGTGTTTAGAGGACCAATGTAGAATATCAGCATAAATTGGGGCCAAATTGCACAAAAAGGACCAAAATAGAAGCTACTGGAAATCAAGGGCTGGAGGATCGATCAGAGCTGAAGCAAGTAGAGTAATCTTGAATGAAGGATGAAGATTGATGGGAGATGATCCCAATTGGAAAAACTCTGCAGTAGCAAACTCAATTGAGGAGAAGAACTGGCAGCTGCTCTGCTGGCAAGTTGCTGCTGTAGAGGCTGTTGTTGCTGTCAATCTGGAAGAGTCTTTAGCTAAAGTCTTGCTGCTCCGGGAAGGAGTTGCTTCGCCATCACTACAAGTAGTTGCTGCTGCAAATTGAAAAAGAGAAAAAAGGACAATATGTGGAAAACAACAGTTGCAACTTTGCTACTTACCTGCTGTGCTGAACTGATGAATTGGCTGTTATAGACAAGTGAGCAATGGTGTTGTAAGTGATCCCAGGAAAGAAGGAAGTAAAAGGGTAGAAAACTAATGCTGAATTGAGGGCTGAAAGGCAATGATGGAAGGAAGCATGCTGCTGATGCCGCTGCTAGTTGTGCTATTCAAGATTAATGAATGTAGAAATGAAGATTTGTGGCTGAAAATGGTGAGGATGCTCCAGAGAAGAATACTAAGAAGAGGAAGCAATGAAGAGAAAAAGGTGGCTAATTGCGGCTGAGGGAAGGATGGAGCTACCAAAGAGAAGACAACAACTTGCCAATTGGGCAAGTTGCTGAATAACCAATTCCTTCAAGCCGCTACAAGTTGCTGCTTCCACCAATCTGCTGCAAGAAAGAAGGCCAAAACTCCACCAACCCAAGCCTCTCCAAATCTCTATAAATAGTCAGCCAGTAGAAGTTACAAAAACAACAAATTGGGTAGTTAAAATTAGTCTAAAAACAGTTAGTTAGTTAAGTTAGTTGGGTAGAAACATGGTAGTAGCAGAAGCTAAGAGTGCAGACTGTCACTCTGTCAAGTGGCGAAGGCCACTCGCCAAAGTGAGCAGACGAAATCTGCCCTGCTACTGCTTTTCCCTTCTATCCTCTAACCTTTTGATCTTAATCATGTCTAATCTTTTGTACTTTGTTGCTCCCATGTTTAACTCAATAGACATGAGTAGCTAAACTCAGTTAAGGGTTCAATCCCTACTATCTTTATGCGAAGGTTTTGATTCAGTTTCCTAGATGAGGCATTGTTTCTAGATAAGTGCTTAAATTAACCTTTTAATGAAACTAGTCACTTAATTGATTGTACATGCATAATTATGAAGACCTGAGAGGGGGAGCATTACTTTAGAACTACTTAATCTAGTCTATGACAAAGGAGGAAATCTCTTCTTTGGTTTCAATCATCAAGGAGAGTGAGGTGCATTGGCATAGGTGATCATATAGGGGTTAAGAACTAAATGGCTTAGATTAGTAAATTACACCTACTGAGCGGTAGGTAATTTGATTAATCTAGGACTCTTTATTCTGTCTGAGAGGAATTATAAAGAATATATGTGCCTGATCAAACAATAAATCATACACAACAGGATTACATGAATCAAAACTGGAACATAAAGATAGGGAGGTGATTGAACCTTCTGCTCTTTTCTCTGTCAAATGACTATTTTCACTCTCGCAAGTGACAAATCTGTTCAGCTTATTTTTCCCTTGTTTTGCACAAGAATCAGAATTTAAGCGGTTAATCGTCGTCTCTGTGAAACGACCTTGCTTACTGCTAGCTAATAGTTTTAAGTAGGTTTTTATATATTTCATTCACCAGGGTACAACATTACTCGTACAGATGTTAGAAATATAATAGAATCCTACATCTCTTATAGTAGTACTAATGATAATTAGAACTGAATTTTCCCTTGTGGCTGGCGAGCGAGGCCCCAACAAGGCTGGCGAGTCTGCTACTACCCGAACCCTGCATTTTTCACAATAATCGAATTCCCATTCACCAATGAGCTCTTGAACCAGAAATCAACAAATCCAAAATGCCTCTGGTGATGCTCCACCACCTCAAAACGAACACCATAGCCACCAAAATGATAGAATAGCGTTTCCAAAGTTTCTCCAATGGTTGAGGGGGTTCAAATTCCCAACAAAACATCTGTGATTATGTGACAAATTCCCAACTGGTAGAGTAGTTTGTAGATATGCTATCCAATCATTAGCATAAGCCAATACACTTGGCTCTATTCTCAAAACTATGGATTTCCGAAATTCATTTCTTTCGGCTTGTATCTCTTCCAAAATAACACTCCTACATTATAAACATCAAGAACTGAAGCTTGTGTCCTCCCAACTGTGATAGGAAACCACATATACAATGCATCTTCAATAAAAATTATGCACATCCCCTGGTATCCTCATCCACTACCATTTGAATCATGTTGGCATAGCAATAGGTTCCGCCCAATATGATTACAAGAACAAAACACCCTCATGGTGAACTTACAATTCTCCTCATTCCTTTCCATTGTCTGTAAGGCTCTCATCTCAGAGGGATCATAAAAAAAATTGAGATTTTAACAGTCTACTCCTCGAGTAAAAAACCTATTGTTGGCTGTAACAACCACCAGCCGCGGATTGTGTTCAATGCTCCTGCAAATCTTATCCCATTCCAAAGAAGGATTCTAAACATACCACGAGGACTGGAGGAAGATCCCCCCCCCTTCACCATACTGAGCTACTGATTGCAACACCTCAACCTACGTTTGGTTTGACCTTGCAGACATTAACAGACAATTAAGTAGTTCCTTAGCATACATAATGAATTCAAAGACTCGTCCCTTTGCGGTGCTGGCACTGCCTCCAGCTAAGTTAAACATAGTGTGTGCCCTGAACTGTGCTACAAGAGGAGATATGCAGACCAATCCAGAAACAAAGGTTGATATCTCATGCCTAGGTAGGACATCGAAAGGGGTCACCATGAGATCTGGATGGACATTCTGCCATGAATAACCATTGTTCTCAATGCATTTTGCTGGTGTTCTCAATGCCATGAATAAATTTCTCTATCTTCCCATTCCTTTTTCAAGAAATTCTTAAATGTGTCTTTTTTTTTAGTTTCTTTTTTTTTCGTTGGTTTTGATGTTTGATTGTATATGTTTATTGCCTTAACATAACTGCCTTGGTAGATTGAATTGGGTATCTTAAGCTAATTGCCTCAATAGCTTGACTCGAATGTCTTAAGTTAATTGACTGATTTTCTATATATGTTAGTATGAATGAATGCGGCTACTTTTTATTAAATGGTGATTGTATCATAAATTCATGAATTCTGTAAGAATGTTGTTGAGAATTTAGTGTGTGTTGTCTACTTATATTGTTTGCTGATAGCCACCATTGGCGTGAATAAACATTGTATGATGACAAGCACTTCAATTAAAGTGCTAGTAAACCTCCATAATGGTCCTATATTGATAAGTTTTGAAGTTTCATGTTATTTATGGGTATTTGTATAGCATTTTGGATTAGATTGTGCACTTATGTTATGTAGTTTTAATATTTTTGGTTCTTAGAAGTGCTTGGAGCTGAGATTAAGCAAAATGTTACATAAACACGCATTTTTGGAGCATTTTGACAAGGAAGCACAAAAAGGGAGCAATAACATCACATTCTCGTGTGGGCACAAACCTCTCAGTCCAAAATTGAGCATTAGAGAAGAAATTCCAGAATTGATGCTGCATTCCCGCTTGGCCAAACCGAAGGAGGGACTAAACTAAAAAATTGAAGATGTTGGGTTCAAATTATAATTTTACCAAACTTCAGGGACCAATATGCAATTCTTGGAAAAGTCAATTTGCATCTGCGGAACTCTGAAAGGCTGCTGGCGGCTGACCTATTTTCTTAATATAAATAGGCACTGCTTTTCATTTTGGAAAGGTAGTAGGTAGTAGAATAAAAATAGTCGTAGTTTTCTACTTTAAAGAAGTTTTCGAAGGCACTTTCTTCATTTTTGGAGTTTTCCAAGTTCATAGAGATCAATTGGTAACTTTGTTCAATGAATTTTTTTGTGATTTAGTTTACATGATGCGTAGCTAAATTCATTCTTTCTGGTTGAAGGATATTGAAGCCTTGGTTTGAATAGTTGTGAGATTGAAATGTTGTTTTTTCTCAATTTCTTGTGAGTATTTGCTTGTTCTATTGCATGATTGATATGATTATTGTGGATTCATGAATAACTGGTAGCATTCGGTGCTTCTTTATAATCTCAAACCAACAAGACAACAAGGTTTCTTGTTTAAATAGGGTGTAATCTAATTTAATTACTTGGTAAGTAATTATTTATGTTGAAAGAACTCATAATGCGGTTTAATATAAAACAAGGTTTGTTTTATTGAAACTGAGATTGGGTCTATGTGTTTAATGCAGTAGTTTTCTAAATCTTAGGAGGTTCCAAGATTTATTTTCGACTAGTATGTGATTAATGAAGGTTTCTTAATCATTGAACTAAGTGAAAGATTGAATTGTTTGGAGGTTCCAACAACGAAAACTAATTTACTCATAAGTTATTGATTATTTCATTGCATCTATGGTCAACTGTTTAAATCAAGGTTGATATACAAACTCTTCAGCCAGATATTTTCTCATCATTTGTTTGCATCATTTTAGCTATTGTTTTTGCAATTTATTTCAACAACTCAAATCCCTCCTCCCCCCACCCCTATTTGTTACTTGATTTAAAAGAGAGAAACTCAACATTTTTTTTTTCAGAAAGCGGAAATTTATTCCGCGTAATTTATTCCATTTACAGCAAAAGCTCTAAGGACAGTGCATCTAACTAATCCTTGGAAGTTACAGAAACTCATATCAAAAGGAGATTACTACTAACCAACTGTTACAACAAGCTTATGAAATAAAACTAAGTTTCAAAGGAAGAGAAATCAGTACCATGTGCTGAAAAACATATGGCATCGGCGGATTCCTATGAGGATTTCTTTCTTCATGTGGAAGCTTTGAAATCTGCTGCTGCCTTTCCCCGAATCCCTACGAAAAATTGATATATATGTATACCCTTCTGTTTGTTTATTATGCAGGAATCATGAGGATAGAGTGCAACATTGTTTTTACGAGTGCCATTTCTCTCAGCAAATTTGGGAATTTTTTCACTAGACTTTTCGTAGTAGGCATGGCTGGTGCGTAAAATTTTGATCAAGTTTTGGCTGCTTGGTGGAGAAAGGATAATTTTTCCACAGCTTTCTCTACTTTGAAAGTGATGGTTCCTTCCTTGAAGAGAGAAATTCAACATTCCTTGAGGATACAACCTTACTTTCCTGTACTACATTAGTTTGAAAATAGGTTAAATTGTTTGTTGGCTTAACACCCTATAAAAATGGCGCCTTTGCTGGGGAACGGTGATCATTGATTCGTTTCTTTTGAATTTTGTTTATTTTCTGTATTTGTTCTAGTTTACTCCGCGCTCTGTTCATACTGGTGAACTCGTCTTTGATGCAGAAATAGAGAAGATAGCTAGAGCTATCAAGAGGAAAGGTTACTTTTAGGCTCTACATCAGAACCAACTAGAGCTTATCAAGAAGGAGAAGAAGAGTAGCCTTCTAGTTCTAAAGAATTTTAACCTGAATTCAAAAAAGAATCTGAAGGAGAAGAGATGGCTGAAAATTTTGAGAGAGTTGACAACTCCGAATGTTGATTAAGAATCATTGTGTATCGTTTTGCTTGCAACTACGGTACCTTTTGAACTTAAACCTGGTATAATCCATTTATTGCCTAAGTTTCATGGTCTTTCAGGTAAAGATCATCACAAACACTTGAAGGCATTCCAAGCAGTGTGCAAAAATGTTAAAAAAGAAGGACTTACTGAGGAGAGGGTTCAATTATAAGCCTTTCCATTTTCATTGGAGGGTGATGCCATTTGTTGGCTCTATGATTTGCCACCCAACTCCATCACTACTTGGGGTGAGTTGAAGAGGCTGTTTTTGGAGCAATTCTTCCTAGCATCGCGTGCAACAAATATTAGGAAAGATATCACCAGAATCCGCCAAGGGTATAGTGAAACATTGCATGAGTATTGGAGGAGATTCATACGGTTGTGTAACAGTTGTCCCCAACTTAAGATTTAGAGAAGTTGTTGCTACAGTATTTCTATGAAGGACTCTGTGAAGTAGATAGAAATAAGCTAGACTCAGCAAGTGGTGGAACTATGATGAATAAGACGCCAGCACAAGCAAGGCAGCTAATTTCAACCATGGCAGAAACTTCTCAATAATTCTCCAAAAGAGAAGACATAGTCAGCACACATGTTATGAGGTACGTTCTGCCACTGATAAATGTTTAGATGAACTAACAATTTTGGTAAGACAAATGGCTGCAGGGCAAGTAAAACAGGTGATGACATGTGGTTTTTGTTATATGGCGGATCACCCGACAGATATGTGCCCAACACTTCAAAATGACCATAATGAGCAGGTAAATGCAGTTGGAGCATTTACAGGTCAGTCACAACGGAGATATGATCCTTATTCGTGTACATATAATCCTGGATAGCGAGATCACCCCAATTTCAGTTATGGGAATAGACAACCAGGTTTCTAGCATCAATCCTATCAACCACCACCTATGAGACAACCAAATCAACAACCTCAAGCATCTTCTTCTAAATCAAGTATGCCTTTAGAGGAAATTGTTACTAATTTGGCCACTCATACCCAAATTTTTACACAGGAAACACGTGCTAGCATCCAGAATTTGGAGAAACAAATGTCACAGTTATCAACTACAGTGAATAGTCTCGATTCTGGGAAATGAAAGCTTCCTGTGCAAGTAGAGATCAATCCAAAAGAAAATGCTAGTGCCATGACACTTTGTAGTGGGAAGGAGTTGAAGAGTGATATACCTCCAGTTCAAGAATCACCAAAAACTCAAGAGAAAGAGATGTATGATCCTTTGGTGACACCAGAAAAAGAGGTAAATAATGAGTTAGTTAAATCTGAGCAAAAAGTTTTAATTTATCCACCTTTTCCTAACAGGTTGGCTAAATCAAAGAAAGAGGAGAAAGAAAAAGAAAGATATGAGACCTTTTGCAAGGTTGAAATAAACATTCCTCTCTTAGAAGCAATTGATCAAATGCCAAAGTATGCCAAGTATTTAAAGGACCGCTGCACGAAGAAGAAAAGGCAAGAGAGTGAAGGAAAAATTGTGGCTAGCCAAATAATGTCAGCAGCAATACAACGTGATTTCTTCAAGTTGCCACAAAAATGTAAAGATCCAGGTGTTTTTCCCATACCTTGTATAATTGGTACAAAAAGAATTGAAAAAGCAATGCTTGATTTAGGGTCTTCAATTAATGTCATTCCATTGTCACTCTTTAGTTATTTGAATCTTGGACCCATGAAGTCAACTAATGCAGTAATTCAATTAGCTGATAGGTCTACTACACATCTGGAAGCATGATTGAAGATGTTCTAATTAGAGCTAATGAGTTAGTTTTCCCTGCTTATTTTTACATTATTGATATGGGGAATGATATATCACTTGATGAAACCGTTATTTCGCTTAGAAGATCATTTCTGAAAAAAGGTAAAGCTAACATTGATGTGGAATCTGGCATTGTAACTTTTCGTTTTAATGATATTGCAGCAATGTTTAATGTTTATAATGCAAAGAAATACACAGATGATCATGAATCTGTTTTTGATGTTAGCATAATTGATGATTGCCTACAAGAAAATTTGGAAAGTGATTTAATGCAGAATAAGTTGGGTGTAGTGCTTAGAGATAATTTAATAGAACAGGCTGAACAAGTGGAAGGCCATGCTGAGCTTAAGGAAGCAACTATAGCATTACATTCTGCCTCCAGCTCCTTTGTTGTTAGCAAATCAATTTAAAAAATTGTCTACTACTTATGAGAGACTCCTTCCTTCTGTTGAATTGGCTCCTAAACTTGAGTTGAAGCCCTTGCCCGTACATCTCAAATATGTCTATTTGGGAGATGATGATATGTTGTCTGTGATCATTGCCAATGATTTAACTAAGGAGCAAG